CAGAAATTGTAAAGATTTGTGAGAAAATGACAAAATTCCGTCTGTAACATATTGTTGTCTAAGCTTACCACAATAAGGACAAAATATGGATGTTTAAACATAGAGCGGATGTAGGGAAGCTGCTCGCTTACCGTGATCGTATAAGTGGTTACGCGTGAGTGTATATGTAACACCCTGTGCTAACGTCTATCGGACTCATAATATAAAGAACACAACAACACTGGTATACGTATTCAATGATTCTCTTTATATGTACTATGTATAATTCCATAACAAGGTATGCGCGTACACTAGGTTTACGCGAGACACGTCACAACTTACTAGGCTAATGCTGGGTCATCCGTTCGTATGCAAATGTGCAATATCTCTGTATCTTACTCTGTCTATCTCTGTCTATATCTGTATCTCTGACTGTCTGTCTCTCTCTCTCCAAACCAGAGATTTTATACCCAAACTGGGGATACGCCTATCTATTGTTTTTCGGCAACCTGCTACATGCGACCGCTTATAATTGGTTGCCTCACTACTCATTAGTCCAGGGTCATGCTTTACACAGCTAAAGTATAAGGATTGAAATTAGATTTTTATTATGGTATCCATCTGGGATACATAGTATTTTAAATCTAGTATCCCCCAAAAGATCTGGTCTCCCTTTTTTATACTAGATTTCAACATTAACATTTTGTACACTGTAAAGTAGTAAATACGATTCTGAAGAGCAAAGAATGAATTGATAACACTGGCAGGTAATTAACAAATGAATAAAAAAAAAGAACACATGTAATTGGTACCAACAGGTTGTTTAACTACAGTTTTTGAGGGATAGCTGATAACTCAACAACCACTATCCCGATTTTCTTTACTATCGAGGATCGTATCGAGATATCGAGGGATAACAAGCATTCGAAATCTGGTATCCAACACAAAATTCTACTTTCCCAGGGATATAGTGATACAGTTAATTTCGATCACAGAAGTAATATAGCATGGGGTTTTCGTATGACCCCATATTGCTACAAATAGAACAGGGCAGTTATAATTACCTGTCTGCATTTGACAGACCAACACATCCCAGATTCATGAGTTTAAACAGATGGGCAACCTTGTAGATGCTGTTCCCAGATATGATGATGCATGTTGGCAGCAGGAGGTTGAAAGCGTACATGCCTCTGATGAGTGGCTGTGAGCACCATCTTCCTCGAACATGGGCTGCATCAGCGATGCAGAGTTGCATCAAATGCGAATACTTCCTCGTCAACCGTCATTTGAGACAGGATATCGCTGGGTGCAGCTCTGCAAGGACAATATAGTTGTCAAAAATAAGTTTCCAAACTAACCATATTTTCAAAGTAATGGTGTGATATTTTGGCAACCCGATACTTCTAATGCTGCCGATATTTGACTTATTGCTGATGTTTTCCGATACCCAATATTCAAGTTCATATCAGCATGTATCGGACTTTTTTTTTTACAATAACAAGCCCAAGAGAACTGAGAAAATATTTTCCGATAGAAATCACCACTTTACCCGACATATAACAGTAATCCCCATCTGCATTCATCATGAAAAGAAGTTCTCCAAAATGGACGTATAGTACATGAATATGTACACAAAGGTAGCGCACGGAGCTAGTTTGGGCAGAGATCCACGGCGTGGGGCACGGAGCTCAGTGAGCTCTAGTCTAGCTATTGTTGTGCGCTGGGCCAGCGCTGTACTGTCGGTTATGCTATTATAAAAGCCATGTTTTATAGTTAATCGCGGTGTCGTTATAACTTACATGCAATGCAGTCAATAGCAAAACCTAGCCTACTTACGGGACGACATGACCAGCATCATCATCCTCCGGTGTCATATACATATCCTCTTCTGTACTGTAAAATCCCAAGTAATCATAACATGAGTAAGTTCAATTTGTTGTTACACACAACGTTAGAACATAAAGTAGGAGTGCCCCGGAACTTTGACCAGGACATAACTATCCGGCTGGAATCATAATTTTTAATAGTTCCGGTTCCTGCCGGAACGTTTCACAAACAGTTGGACGTAACCAAACATTTTTCTTAATTTAATTTCTGCTACAAGCATCGTAAAATGCTTCAATCTAGGAGATGCACTAAAAACCGTTAGATCCACCTTTGGTTCCACATTTGACATAATGAAAAGACAAAACCTTCATCTATATAGCACAATTTTTCTGATCTCATATCGGCAGGTAATCATACTTTTAGCATTGCAGCATTATCTAATTGTACTCGGTTCCTGTGAATATATTCCAACAACTAACAACAATGTCCTACTCGCTTGAGTGATGTGCCTGTTAATGTTGTTTCGTTCCGCCCGAGTGAGTTTGTTTTACGTAGTCTCGACCGGAACTTTTTTCAAGTTCCGCCTATGTTGCGGTTCCAGCAGGAAATTTAAAAAGTTGAATCCCTTACACCCTAACATAAACATCATAAACAATAATTTTTAAAAGCAAGTCACAATGTAAAAGAATCCGTTAACGTGGAGCTAAGTGGAAGAATGTCTCAAGCTTGACCTCAGCTATTGGCGACAAATCCCAGAACGGGTTGTGATTTTTTCCACTATAAGGTGTTGATGGCGCGATACCTATTAAATAAATATAATTAGTTCAGTTCAGTTTATTGAAATCAACAATAACGAACTGTTTAGTACTGGAAATGACCCCGAAAGCCGACATAGATATTTTCTAAAGGCTGTGCAGGGAAAGAATGAAATTGATTCATGTATTTGTTCTAAAAATAGCGGTACAGGCCACGTACAGCGCTGTCAAGATAACACCGGTAATATCGTGCACCTCTACATAATTTCTTAATTACTATCAGAAGTGTATTAGGTCTGTGTGCTATAAAAACAAAACAATGTACTATATGTAGGCGGCAATGATTGCATTTTGTAAGTAACTGTACAATCGGTTTTCATGCTAACGAAAAAGACTTACGCAAATAAGCCGTTATCTGCGGGTGGTGGTTCGTGACGACCTCACTTATGCGTAGCTTCTCCTTCAGGAAATCTAACGCCCTTTTCATTCCAATGATTTCCATGTTAGGGCTTCGCAGATCTGCCTCCCTCACATCGACAATTTGTACGTCCAGGATGCCATTGTGTATGTGAGGAATTTTGCGCAGTGTCCGGGGGTATCACTCCTCCCATCCCCTGCGAGGACAACAGGGTTGGTGCCATATGAGCGTAGCATGTCCGTTTGCATACTCTCCCAGAACTCACGCACAGCCGGATGCACATACAACCTCTGCACTCTGGAAACATGCAAGATATGAATGTATATGAATGCCTGTAGCTACACATGTACGCATACATATTACCACAGGATATGGCACGTCATGTACTGTAATGTAAAGTTCCTTTTTTCTGAAGGAATTATAATCTGACTGATCAAAATCAAAACATGGCATAAGTATAGCGGTTGAAATTAAATTGTTATTATGGTATCCATGTCGGATACCAAGTAATTTAAATCTAGTATGACGCAAAAGATCTGGTCTCCCTTGTTTTAAACTAGAGTTCAACATTCACATTTTGTATACTGAAAAGTCTTAAATACGATTCCGAAGAGCAAAGAATGAAGTGATAACACTGGCAGGTAATTAACAAATGAATAACAAAGAACAATTGTAATTGGTACCATCAGGTTGTGTAACTACGAGACTACGTAACTCCTGTATTATCCTCATTGAGAGAACCATCACTCATCATATCATATCAGCATGTATCAGACTATTCTTTTTTTTACAATGACAAGCCCAAGAGAACTGAGAAAATATTTTCCGATAGAAATCACCACTTTACCCGACATATAACAGTAAGCATTCATATCTGCATTCATCATGAAAAGAAGTTCTCCAAAATGGACGTATAGTACATGAATATGCACACAAAGGTAGCGCACGAACCTAGTTTGAGCAGAGATCCACGACGTGGGGCACAGAGCTCAGTGAGATCTAGTCTAGCTATTGTTGTGCGCTTGGCCAGCGTTGTACTGTCGATTATGCTATTGTAAAAGCATTGTTTTATAGTTAATCGGGGTGTCGCTTTAACTTACACGCAATGCAGTCAATAGCAAAACATAGCATACTTACGGGACGACATGACCAGCATCATCATCCTCCGGTGTCATATACATATCCTCTTCTGTACTGTAAAATCCAAAGTAATCGTAACATGAGTAAGTTCAATAAGTTGTTACACAACGTTAGAACATAAACTGTAAGTGCCCCGGAACTTTTACCAGGACATAACTATCCGGCTGGAATCCAAATGTTTAAGAGTTCCGGTTCCTGCCAGAACGTTTCAGAAACACTTGGACGTAACCAAAACTTTTTCTTAATTTAATTTATGCTACAAGCATCGTAAAATGCTTCAATATAGGAGATTCACTAAGAAACCGTTAGATCTGCCTTTGGTTCCACCTTTGACATAATTAAAAGACAAAACCATCTATATAACACAATTTTTCTGATCTCATATCGGCAGGTATAATCATGCTTTCAGCATTGCAGCATTATCTAATTGTACTCGGTTCCTGTGAATATATTCCAACAACTAACAACAATGTCCTACTCGCTTGAGTGATGTGCCTGTTCATGCTGTTTCATTCCGCCCGAGTCAGTTCGTTTTAATTAGTCTCGACCGGAACTTTTTTCAAGTTTCGGCTATGTTTCAGTTCCAGCCGGAAACTTCTATAATAAAGTTGAATCCCTTGCACCCTAATATAAACATCATAAACAATAATTTTTAGAAGCAAGTCACAATGCAAAAGGATCTGTTAACGTGGAGCTTACGGAGCTAAATGGAAGAATGTCTCAGGCTGGACCTCAGCTATTGGCGACAAATCCCAGAGTGGGTTGTGATTTCTTCCACTAGAAGGTGTTGAAGGTGCGATACCTATTAAAAAAATATAATTAGTTCAGTTTAGTCTTTCTCGCTGTTACCGCAGAAGTAAAATCACAAACACACATGTATGTATATTGTTAACCAATGCACTCATTACTTTACTAAAGTGCAATGACTCTAGTGTATGACTGCTGTTTCAGTCATTCATAACTTTAACTTTGGAAATGAAATACATCGTAATCTCCTAATACATAGCTTTTGTAATTATTTATTAATATCGTCAACTGGCGCGCTGACCACGAAAAAATTGACAAAGTTCAAGCTTGAAATTGGATTGCTTCAAATTGCTTCTATTTGCGATGTACTGCAGATATTGAAGACTGATAATTCAATCTGTAATACAAATTATAAACATACAAAATACCATAAATTAATAATTATTGCGCAATTAACGCTTCCTTTGTGTCCCTTTTGTTGAATTCTAACAAACACAAATTTTACTATACTGTATCAAACGGCAACGAATCCTACGGCAATGTCGCTGGCATAGCATTTACAAGCATACATTCACACACACGTGTTTACCTAAATGACTAAAATTAAACATATCCCTTTACACACTAACTAATAAATTCTCATTGTCTAAGTAAAAGCTAAACTCACTTCTATTGGCCGGGAACTAAGCCGCGTGTATACTGGTTCGTTTAGGCTTACATGGCTGCGCGTTTAGAGTGCTCTGCATTGCTCGTCCACCGTACACAAATCATCTACAAACGGGCTTAAATGCGGGGAAACTTAGAGCTCACACAGCGTAGATCTTCGATCTTCCCTGGCGCATAGACTACAGAGGAGTGACATGCACAAGATAAGTAGCCTCTAATCGAATAGAGTAACTTATCATACCGGTTGCTGCGAGACGTTTCTCCAGCTCTCGTTATATCTCAGTGCAGCTCTCAATTTAGCGATCGGCCGCCCGTGACGTAGTGCGACTGGTGTAGTCAAAAGCGCACTTACAGTATCAGCGCGTTTAAACGCTGCTATACAATCATTCCGGCTTTCCCTGCTTATAATAAACAAACTTCTATACACAACAAACTTTTCGCTCAGGCGAACAATGATGATGATTATGGCGCCGCTGAACGACAAAATGACCAAAGTTCAAGCTTCAATTGGATTTGCTTCAAATTGCTTCTGGATTTGCGATGTACTGCAGATTATTGAAGATGATAGGATGTGTGCAATCCTGGGCTAGTTACAGGTGATAACACTACCAACCGAGTCGCCATAAATCTTTATTATTGGCGGATACATGCCACCCACCAATTCACGGCTTGTAATTGTGTCCTATCTTTTGTTGAATTCTGCGTGCACAAGAATACGACTGCAACAATTTGTCAAACGCATTTAGTCCTTGGCGATGAACTCTAATCGTCTGAACATTTTCCAATGGCACGAATCTACCTGGCACTGTCGCTGGCATCAGCACTTTACAAGCCATAACATCACACACACGTGTTTACCCTAATGACCTAAATTTAACGTGACCACCCCAGAATGATTCCTCTCTTTCAGCCATCATCTAGTAACACATATCACATTATTCTGTAGTGTGTCTAAGTAAACTCACTTCCCTTTGGCCCCGGACCCCTAAAAGCCCGTCTACTGCGCCAAATTGCTTAAAGGGCTTTTTGGTATCGGTTTTTTAGCTCTGGCGCATTCGCGCACCACCACTAAAAATTCTGGCCAGTGTCCAATTCCTGATCACCTGCGCGACCTATGCCGAACATTTTTCCAATAGGTTTGCATGGGGTTTCCTTTCCAGCTAATCTAGCTTCAATTTTTGCACGGGTGCCTTTCAAATGAACCCCAGCTGACCACACAACTCAGCGGCTGCCGTGCCAGGACTTACATTTCCTTACATGGCGGTATGTACAACGAACATCATTGCCCCTATATGCATGAAAATTGGTTTCCNGTGGTTCAGTCCGTTCAGACCCGGAGCTAAACGTCAGTGATAAAAGTAATCTCGGCACTTTAAGCCCGCTTCTAAACTTCCCCCCACAACCCCCCAACTACCCCCATTTATACTGGGGGTTTATCCCGCTTCAGGTCCGGACCTGAAGCGGGGATAACTCCAGTATAAAAGGTCGAAAAACACTTAGCCGAGCTAAAGTATTCACCTCAGGAGGTGGTTCAGGTCCGCTTCAGACCCGAGCTAACGTCAGTATAAAACGACTTATCCGAGCTCAAAGGTATCCGCTTCAGAAGGCGGGCTAAAGTCGGCGAGTATAAAACGACTTATCCCCGGAGCTAAAGTTGATCGCTTCAGCAGTAATAGAAACCGACTTATCTCCGAGCTAAAGTTATCCGCTCAGAAGCGGCTAAAGTCGTGCGCAGTATAAAGCGGCATTATAAGTTACTCGAACACGTTCTATATACTGTTGAACTAAATACGTTAAGTATAACGTCCCAATCTCGTTAAATGAAATACGCTGTATATCGCAACCAAAATTGAAAAAAAATCGATAGTTCAGCGTATGCAGCGTTTTAGAGAAATTTGATAGCGTGCGGCATACGCGTCTAACTCGCAATGTGTGAGCAGGGCCATAAGAGAAGAAAAGACCCAGCGTCTGTCGCTCTCTACAAGATCATAAATGTCATTATAGCGATGCCTGCTTACATCCACGTTAAAACTTAAACTCAGGGCCGGATTTAGGCACAAGCTAAACAAGCTACAGCTTTGGGCCTCACAGTCTGAAGGGGCCTCTCAAAATCTCCGATTTCCCTATTTGTTACAGTTTTATTATAATTTAATATAATGATAATGATCATTATAATTATAATATATCATATAATATATATATATCATTTATATTCTCTATAGTATATATACAGTATAGTATCAGTTTATAGATGATTGATGGACCGTTCTCATCTCTCAATTGCTCTGTTTTCTTGTGTCAGTCCATGTTCACACGCGCACACGTATACCCATGTACACGCATACACGCACGCGCGCACGGGCAGTAAACGCACACACGCCGCGCAGCGCAATAGACGCACGAACACCGCGCCACGTCAATACACGTGCGCACGCATACGCGCACACACGCGCCACGCATACACGCGCGCACGCATACACGCACGCACGCCAGAAAGCACACGCCGCGTACACGCACGCCAGAAAGCACACGCGCGTACACGCACGCCAGAATTAAGAGCACAACGCGCGTACGACGCACGCCCAGAATTAAAAAGAGCACGATCGCACGTAACCCTACGCCAGAAAGCACACGCGCGTACACGCACGCCAGAAAGCACACGCGCGTACACGCACGTCAGAAAGCACACGCGCGTACACGCACGCCAGAAAGCACACGCGCGTACACGCACGCCATAAAGCACACGCGCGTACACGCACGCCAAGAAAGCACACGCGCGTACATGCACGCAAGAAAGTACACGCGCGTACACGCACGCCATAAAGCACACGCGCGTACACACGTATATACGCATAATACGAGTATACATAATACATACATACATAATACATACATAACATACATACATACATACATACTCATAATACATATATAATAACAATACGAGCATACGTATTAATACGAGTATACTAAACATACGATTTAATGATCCCTCTACATCCCCCAGAGGAAAGGAATTACCTTATACTTAGTAGAAAAGCGGAAAAGGAATTGTTGCGACCAGAAATCGAGGTTGTAAATGTATGTCATTGTCACTGAAGTCGTCTTATATGCTAAAATTGTCAATTAAAATTGTCAAGTGAATTGCAAAGATAATAGCGCCCTTGGGTCACTGGAAATCTTTTGACATGAGACTGAAGAGGGCAAGAAACGAACTGAAAAATAGAGAGATAAAGAAAGATTAGCAATTCACCTTTTTGGCTGTTTGTAAGATATTAAGAAACGAGTGCCTATATTCATCCAAATTCATTTATTTATTTTATTTCTGTGTTTTATTTGCACCACATTAAAGTCAAACACGGCTGAATAGGCAGTTTTTCTGAATTACACCTACGATCTATAAATCAGCATGACCAGTCATTGACATTTTAATGTGGTCGCTAGTATATGTACACACGTGCCAGCTGACCAGCTCTATTCCGCATTACCTATCGTGCATGCAAACACTATTGATAATTAATGGTACGTCCGTGTGCACTGCGCATATGGCATGTCATTTGCTCAACCCCAAAAACATAGCAGCATGCGCTGCGAGCTGCCGGTTGAAGCATTCCGGGTTCTAGCCCAAACTGAGTGCTTGCAAACAGGGGCGAGATTAGCGGGGGGATGGGGGGATGCATCCCCGCTTATTGACGTGGGGGGATGGCGTGTACAATCATCCCCCCTAACTTTCAGGAGAAAATGGGGGATCCAAATTTTCTGGGGAGACCGCGCATAACCCGCCACCTGTTTCTTCCCACGCTCCTCGGAAAACCTAGCTTGGCACTGCCGAGTATTGTTGCCCCCCACTTCAAAAATTGTTCGCGGGCAGGCGCCTTAGAGTACTGCTAACAAAGATTAATGATTATGAAAATGATTTGTTGCGAATCAAAAGTCCAAAGTTTTGAGTTTTAACTGACGAGGGCGTAGATAGCAGGGGGATGGGGGTATATCGCCCCACACGGTATGTGAGGTGGGTGCTATTCCGTCCCCCCTGACTTGTCAGGAAGAAACTGGGAAAAATTTAATATCTTTACAGAGCAATAAATATGGATAATTTATCTACAATCCGTCATCGGTATTCATACTCTCCTCAAGTAATATTACAAGAATGGAACCGGACAAAGTAAAAATACTCAACCAACAGTGGATGTTATTGTGATGAGATTGTTTAATAGTGGCGCCTACATAGTGCAGGATTGCATCGAAGAAGGTGTTACTTTCACGCAAAAATCCCGGACCCCCCCTTAACAGGAGAGGGACATGCCGCTGAAGGAGGAGAAAAGTCCTGATTTCTATGAAGAGATGGTTCCAAAATTGAGTGCTTTTAGATTGCAACTATTCAAACAATTCACACAAGGAAGGTGACACCCCGTCCAACCCCCTCCCCCCCGGCGCTCGTGCCCTTGAGCTCGGCATGATTCGCCCCCTAGAATTGTGCTCTGATCGCCACTGTTGTGTGTGCTGTGGGGGTTGCGTGTTATTAAACCTTGGATCCAAAGAAAAAAATTACCCTAGAATTCGACCAAGTGCACTTATAATATCAATTTTTTTCAAGTTCGGCCTCAAACACAGGGGGCGCCCATGCTTGAAAGGTTCTAAATTGCTAAAATCCAGGACCCCGGGCAAGACGCCTGCCCTGCACCTGACGAGGGGCCCTAGGGCGGGCCCTGAACGCCCAACCTATTAAGGGCTTTCGCCAAGGCGCTCGCGGTGGTGCGCTACTCGCGCAACTCTTGCATATACATTGTCATGGAAGTAACAGGAGAAATCATCCCCCCCACAACTGAGGACCTGTCTACGCCACTGCTTGCAAGAGAGCACATAAAATGCCAATTCTTGTCCTACCGTGCTGCTGTACCACCCCACTGCCACTAATATAACACGGCAACAACAAACATAATATCAGACTCCTGATAATATCAGTATGGTCATGAACACCCGAATAGTACAACATAAATCAACTCATTTCAACGGATATAACCATTTACGTCGCTCTTGCTTCAATATAGCCACACGTGTCCAATAATACTCGCACGCACACACGTTATGCAAACATTTTCAAACACCAGTAATCAGATACGTACGCACGTATACTAAATTGCACAATGCCTTCGTGATATTCGCATGGGGACAATATAAACCCCAAAATCAATATATTCACTGTTTGACTAAATGCAGATTTTTGTTATTTGACAAACAACAGAATATATTACGATTTTTGACAAGGGACAATATTATAAGTTCGCAAGATAGTGTTTTACACGTAACAGCCACATGGCAATGCGGTGGGGGATTTATAACACTATGGTAGTTTCTAACACAATATGGCCGAGTTAGTTCTTATATCTTTATTGATAATTCAGCTACAACATTAAAGCCAACACAGTGTTTGTCTCAATAAATGTCAGTAGTCCTTCATAATTTAAATATCACATGAGAGAATAGTATTTTAAAATGTTACTCACACATCACAACGTCAAACAAACTAACGAACAGTTATAACCTTGCAATGGCACGATAGATACGACTAGTTCCATTAATCGATACATATATACAAGTACATTAAGGCTCTTTACATTTAAAGTTTTCGTCGTCAATTAATTCATAATTAGCCTTCTTGAAGGTCATTAAATGTGCACTTCTGAATTTCGAATTGAATCTGTGGAGAGCAAATTTTACTGAAGGAAATGGCTTAATTGCAGTGAGCTTAACTAAATCAGCCAAGTATTCTTCGAGGAGATCGCCACCCATCCTGTGGGCATGTGAGTTCTTCCAACCCATCGAGAATCTCTTCTGCAGCTCAGCCTCTTCCTCAGCTAGCATCTGATCCATTGTGGGCAGGGTCACCGTTCCCTCGAGCACGGCAAGTGCAAACAGCACCTGGTAGTGGAATATGACAAGTGGGGGTACTTGTTGGGGCAAGCCAATGAGAAACATGGACGGATAATGTGAGTTGACGAAGTGTTTGAACATGGGCGCTACGCGCGACTTCTCCTCAACGACGACCCCGCACGCTGAGGAGAGGAATGGGTAGGTGTACTCGTAGCCAGTGCAGAAGAGCACGACATCAGCACGCCGTCGTGCCCCCACCGATAAACACAACGGTGTCGCCTCTAGCCGCTCAATCCCCGGCAACTGCTCGAGGTTGTCAGGCAACGGACAGACGAATGGTGTCTTGTTGTGACTGAGCACAACGTGACTCGCTACAGTGGCGACCTCCAGTCCGATGTCGGTCCCGGAAGGACCAGCACCAAGGCACACCACCGTCTGGCCTTTGAAGACACTTGCTCCCGGTAAGAGTGACTGTGGAGGATTTTGCCAGTGAAGGTGTCTGTACCAGGGAGGTCCGGCATCCGTGGCACAGAAAAGTGTCCGTTGCAGACGAACACGGCATCGTAAACGTGTATCTCCTCCACATCCGTCTGTAGGTGGCGCACTGTTACCTCCCATGTCGCATTCGCAGTGTTTCCCACTCGGGACAACCTTTGTAAGCGGCAGTAGAAAACTGAACATGATCCATCACGTTATATTTCTGTACGTAGTCGTCAAGGTAGGCCTTAACATCCCAGTGACTGACAAAGGACGGAAGGTCAGCACTGAAGGGCGTATCGGGATAAGCCATCAGTTCCTTTGGGAAGTTGGTGCACAGGTACTTGTACATGCTTGAGTGAATGTGTAGCCATGCTCGTCTTTCCCCGTCCTGTCGGTGTAGACCCAGGTTCCACCGATGCTTTCTGACAACTCGTAGACGACATGGTCAAAGATGTCACGTCTGGCAGCTAGGAATCGCGACGCACATATGCCCGGCTGCTCCTGCCCCGATCACGGCCACACGTGTAATTGCCGGCATGCTTACCCTGGTAAACCAGATTCTAGAACAGAATAGAATAGGTCTAGAATAGATTGCATTGAGTAAAAAATCGTGTAACTGAAATATGACTCAGTCACGACTTGATTGTCAGTCACAATGTCTGAACAGATGTAATGACTGTATTGGCACTTGTCAATGTGATTAGGCTACTTATACTAGTAGTACTAGTAGTACTATAGTCATTGCTGCCAGCAGTGCTAGTGTTAGTGTGCCAGCAGTGCTAGTGTTAGGGTGCAGCAGTGCTAGTGTTAGTGTGCCAGCAGTGCTAGTGTTAGTGTGCCAGCAGTGCTAGTGTTAGTGTGCCAGCAGTGCTAGTGTTAGTGTGCCAGCAGTGCTAGTGTTAATGTGCTAGCAGTGCCCGTAGTGCCAGTCGTGCCTAATGCCAGGCAGTAGTGGCACTGGCACTGGTGCTGAAAGAGTCCATGTCCCCCGGGGTACAGCCGGAACGTACCCTGGATACGGTCCGGTATACCAGAACGTACCCTGGTACTATCTGATATGCCGGACCGTACCTCGCCTACTCCACTAATGAGTCTAGGGAGTCGCCTACGCCTACTCCCTAACCCTAACCCTAATCCTAACCTAACCATATCAAATAGTGACTAGGGTACGTTCCGGCAGTACCCTGGGGACATAGACCCTATGAGCGGCACTGGCAGTACTACAGTACAGAGAACTACCTACCTCAGTACCGCTGAGAGGGTTTATGTCCCCCGGGGTACTGCCGGATCGTACCCTGGGTACGGTCCGGTATACCGGAACGTACCCTGTCCCTGGTACTATCTAATATGCCGGACCGTACCTCGCCTACTCCACGGCTCAGGGATAGAGAAGATGTCCAGTCTTATCTTATCAACTAACATCATCCTATCCAATCACCGTACTGGACATCATCTCTATCCTTGAACCTACTCCACTAACGAGTCTAGAGAGAAGCCTACGCCTACTCCCTAACCCTAACCGTATCAAATAGTGACCAGGGTACGTTCCGGCACTAGGTGTACGTGGTAACGGCACACAGGGTACGTTTCGGCGGCAGTACCCTGACCCTATGTTAGCTATGAGTATGACTATGAGCCTCAGTATATACTCAATAATACTGTGGCCGTATGTACTGATGTAGTATGATGCAACAGTACATACTACAGACGTAGTACAGTCTACATGTATGCCCTGCAGTGCAGGGTTACAAATTACATTTACAATTTGAATATATAGAATTATTAATAAAATAGACAATAATAAAAGACCAGATTAGACAAGGCTAGAGATACTATCAAGTATCAACTCACATTTCTTGCGCTCAATTTCCAAAAAACTTGATTTACGTATGAATTCTCGCCGATTAACGATCGATTAACTTCGATTCCACCTTGGATTCCACAACTAGCAGAATGTGGGGGCGGATTGTCGATTGTGGGTATTATAGATGGCAGCACGAAGTTATTAACTGTTATTTATAGCGCGCAGCTCCTCGCTTCAGATCGTTGCTTGTTGTGCGAAGCCCTGTTGTATATTTAGACTGTAGATAAGCTAGAACCTAGGAACTTGAAACTAGAAAATATCTTTGAAATAATAAAATGCTATGCTGCTTAGAGAGGATTGAGGTACGTGTAGTATTTATTCGTTATTTGTCATTTATTCCCATGGAAACCGGCCGAGCAAAGTACGGTGGTTATGTATCTGTATCGGTTATGTTCGATTGGCTTTGTCACTATGGTCACACACACAGACTGCATGATGCATCATCACTGATCGGTTTTTGAGCAGCGTTTAATAGCGTAAAATTATGCGTGTGCATTATAAAACGGTATTATCAACCAATAATCGAGTTTTTAAGGGGTCAAGGATAGTTTGGGACCCCGTAAATTTATTTTCGCATATGTGGCATGTGCTAAACTAATACTAATAGTAATAACTAATATGTAGTAAACTAATCCGGGATGCTAAGCTAGGCTTAGGCCATTTTGGGTACCATTTATAATCAAGAATGACAAGATTATTGTTGCAGCAGCCAGACATCTACTTTTGGTAAATCTGTTTGTTATTTTCTTTATTAGTTTTTCGTACCGAGGAAAGTGAGTATCGTATACTAAAAATTTCTCTATTGTTTCAGGCTGGGTTTCACAAAAAGTGAAGCCATACTGTCTGCGCATCCTCATACAGAAGATGCACAGGGAGAAGGAACAGTTCGTAACAACCAGGAGGGCCAGTAATGCAGTATGAATTGCTCTGAAGTATGTTTCATTGTTTGTACTGTGTGGGTTTGCATGTGACTGAGCACAACGTGACTCGCTACAGTGGCGACCTCCAGTCCGATGTCGGTCCCGGAAGGACCAGCACCAAGGCACACCACCGTCTGGCCTTCGAAGACACTTGGCTCCCGGTAAGAGTGACTGTGGAGGATTTTGCCAGTGAAGGTGTCTGTACCAGGGAGGTCCGGCATCCGTGGCACAGAAAAGTGTCCGTTGCAGACGAACACGGCATCGTAAACGTGTATCTCCTCCACATCCGTCTGTAGGTGGCGCACTGTTACCTCCCATGTCGCATTCGCAGTGTTTCCCATAGGGACAACCTTTGTAACGGCAGTAGAAAACTGAACATGATCCATCACGTTATATTTCTGTACGTAGTCGTCAAGGTAGGCATTAACATCCCAGTGACTGACGAAGGACGGAAGGTCAGCAGTGAAGGGCGTATCGGGATAAGCCATCAGTTCCTTTGGGAAGTTGGTGCGCAGGTACTTGTACATGCTTGAGTGAATGTTGTAGCCATGCTCGTCTTTCCCCGTCCTGTCGGTGTAGACCCAGGTTCCACCGATGCTTTCTGACAACTCGTAGACGACATGGTCAAAGATGTCACGTCTGGCAGCTAGGAATCGCGACGCACATATGCCGGCTGCTCCTGCCCCGATCACGGCCACACGTGTAATTGCCGGCATGCTTACCCTGGTAAAACCAGATTCTAGAACAGAATAGAATAGGTCTAGAATAGATTGCATTGAGTAAAAAATCGTGTAACTGAAATATGACTCAGTCACGACTTGATTGTCAGTCACAATGTCTGAACAGATGTAATGACTGTATTGGCACTTGTCAATGTGATTAGGCTACTTATACTAGTATTACTAGTAGTGCTAGTGTTAGTGTGCCAGCAGTGCTAGTGTTAGTGTGCCAGCAGTGCTAG